ACACATTTGCATTCTTGTTTTCCATTTAATCTTTTTTCCTATTTTATTAATCTAGTTAAAAAGATTAGCTTACACCCCTCTAGCACATTTTTTTCTTTCCTATTTCATTCTGTTGTCTGGAAGCTGTGTCTGGGGAGGTCTCTCCCTGCGCACTAAGAGAAACTTGAACCTGGACGGGGGAGTCTTGACTCTGGACAAGAAAGGATTCTTGAGCAGGTTGGATGAGTGTAGGTAAGGAAGGAATTCATTACAGTGAGAGTAGCGGGAAATGGCAGCTGCCTTGCAGGCAGCAGAGAGCAAGGAAAAGCAAATGGAGGAAAGGGAAGCTCATTGAACTCCTGCTTGGCATGGGGCAGATCTCTTGCTGACTCCCAAAGCCAGCGTCCCCTGGTGTCGTGTCTGCTTGATTCTGCACCACCCCAGGATTTGGGGGAGTTGCAGAGCATTGGATGGAGTGAGATTATGTTCTGAGAACTTCCCAAAGACAAAGAAAGGACATTTTCAGGCAGGCTACTAAAGAATATGATTATACAGCCACAGTCCTGTCCAGGTTACCCAGGCGATGGGAACTTGCAAGCCCAAATCAAAGTTGTCAGTAGTCCCTCCTTATCTGGAGTAGAACAGAGACAGTGAAGTCTTATGCTTAAATCTGAAAAATAGAATGAAATAGCAAATAACAAAGATACCACTGGAAGAGCACAGAGACAAAATGCAGTAAGTTGAGCAAGAGAGAAGCCTTTATTTAAAAAGTGCACACTCAAAGGGAGTACAGGCAGCCTCAGAGAGGAGGCGTACTTTTTGGAGTTTCATAGGGCCTTCTGGGTAGGGGGTCTTCATTAAAGCATGATGTATGCAGGTGATTCATAATTCCTTTGAAGTTTTGTCTTAAGAATATTAGGTTATTTAGGTGACTGTTGGTCCCAGTCCTGGCATTCTTTATCCACATAGGTTCACTTTGGAGGTCTATCTACTGAACTGGTTGCAAAGTTATGTAATTGACTAAGGGGAGGGAAGAAGAGGGAAAACAGCTTATAGATTAACCTGGGCCTTTTTCACAGACTAAGTAGATCTTACAATGGCATGATCCTTATCCCATTTCCCTGCCCTACCTTAATTCCCTCTGCTGTATTGGGTATTTTTTTAATTGCATGAAATAGAGACACTGTGATTGCCTTTAAATAATAGAGTTAAGGGATTTAAAGAAAAGATGAAGATTAGATGCTCAATAACATAGCCAGGCCTTATAGTAAAAAGGATCAGCCATAATATAGCCAGGCCCCATGCCTGCTCAGAAACAGATGCCTTTGTTCCCTATTCATGTTTTGCCTGCTGATTTAGTGATTCTGATACTTCTGAAAGATTACCTGTCTGTGGCCAGTGTTTGCTGCTCCCTATTAGCTATCTCAAGTGTCTGTTGTCTCCTAGAGACCTGCTGTGTGCTCTTATCTCTTGTTCTCATTACTAAAGCTCTTAGTTATATTCCTAAGGAGAGTATCTGATTGATGCACTTAATGACCTTTTGATGCCAGACTAGGTCTTAGGTCATTTGGCCAGCTGGAAAATTCTCTGTTCTTGGGTCATGTGCCAGACTAAGGTTGTGTGGTACACAGTATGGTGACCTATAAAATCTGTATGGCACTGGCATAGCAAGCACTCAGCATTATCCATTCCTTCCACTTTATAACAATTGATTCACTTAGGACAGTTATTAGACTGGGTTCTCCCAAACCAGTTAGCTACACATTTATAGATTAAGGTTTAGGTGAATTGCTGAGCTCATTGCTGAAATGTTAAGGTTTTTTTCCAAAACTCTTCGCTTCATTCTTAGCCACAAAGGACAGCCTCCACCACCTTTAAGCCACAATTTAAAATAAACTCACGGTACTGATTGTTGGTCCAAGAAAGCCCATCTGTTAGAGATCATGAAGAGAAGAGAAAATTGAGATGTTCCATTCTTGTTAGCATCTCTAAATTTGGTAGAAGAGATTGAAGCTATGAGCTGAAATAAGGTTTTTGGATTATTAGTTCTATATGGGTTTGAAGCCTAGCTTTCCCATTTACTAAATGATAGATTAGTATCTTTTCTAAGATTTAGTTTACTTGGGAATAAAGTAGGGATTATGGTACTTGCCTTATGTGGTTATTAGGATTAACAGGATACATGCAAAGCAGTTAGCAAAATGCTTGGTATATAATAAATGCTTGATAAATGTTAGCTCCCACTCTCTCTAGATCATTAAGCCTTATTAGTAGTAAAGGTTACCCTAGTCCTTTAGTAAATTCTTAGTACTAATGAAAACTAACATTTCTTAGTGCATGAGCTGAGACCTACTTACTGAGCCCTTGTTTACTCAGCACTATACTAGATATCAACTGGGTATAAAAGAAACAAATTGTAATACGATTCTTGCTGTCTACTCCCCACTATGAAATGTCAGTCCCAGAAAAATTTTTTAGAGAACTAAACCTATGATGGTATTATATTGTTGGAATTTGGGCCCTGTCATTAGCTGTTTGACTTAGGGCAAATTAATTCTCTGTGCCTCAAGTTTCTTCATATGTAAAATTCAGAAGGTATCTCAGGATTGTTGTAAAGAACAACTGAGTTAATAATGTGATGCACTTAAGACAGGGCCTGATCTAGTAAATGCTATATGTAAACTGCTATTGCTAGGTTAGGACTCTTAGGAGTTAAATACTTCAAGCCTTGGGTTTAATCAACCAATTTTCTTCTTTCAGTTTAAAATGAATAGGTTTCTTTGTAGGTTTATAGGATGTCTTCAGTCTCCATCATCAGGGCAATTTTATAGGATCTTAAGTGGTAAGAGATGAGTGAGCTGAAGGACATAACTCGAAGTGGTCTACAGATAATGTTCCATTTTGAGATTGGACACCAGAGTTTCCGTATCTTGCCAGTCTTCCTTTGATGATGCTTTGGCAGAAAAAAAATGTATCTCAAAATTCTCACAAAGCTGATTTTCCCTGTCACTGAAACGTCCTATTGAAGGGGTTAGAGGGAATGGTGTGCTAGTAATGTGAAAGTAGGGTTACAGGAAAGCCAATTTGAATTGAGATCTTTGATTTTATCAAGCTTAACAAATCCAGCAGGCAAGGGAATTTTCTAATCAAAAGCTACTACTGTTCTTATAAAGGGAAACTAAAGCTGCTTCTGTTTTTAAGGGAGAAACTCATTTCTGATTTATATTTTCTTCTCAAGAAGTGAGATTAATGTGTTTTCTTTCCACATTAGTGAGATTGAACATCCTTTCATTATATTTATTGATCACTTGCATTACTTTTGTAAATTGCTTATTCGTGTTCTTGACTTCTTTTGTTTGTTTTATGAGACTTATGTTTGTAGAATGAGGACATTAAATCTTTGCCAAATATGTTTCAAATATATTTTTCAGTTTGTCAGTTGCCTTCTTTTACCCTCGGTTGTGATTTTGTATTTTAACTGCACAGGAACTTTTAATGTCATGAATCTAGATTTTTTCTGGAAAGTATCATCTCATTAGGATTAAAGAGAGACTTTCTGCCAAGTGCTATGAAACATGTAGTAGTTGATATGTAGACCGGTCCATTTAATAACCTTTTGCCATACAAATAGGTGATTAATTGTCATGGGATTTGAAGAGACTTTGCAAACTAACATAGGCCTGAGGCTCTAACACCATAATAACATTAGCTACCTCTTATGCACACCAGCTGTGTGGCAGGCAATATGCTAAGTCTTTTATGTACTATATTCCTAATATTTAACTTTAAATATTTTGTCCATATTTCATAGATGAGTAAAGTGGGCCCAGAAGTGAAATGATTTGCCCAGGGCCACAGAGCTAGTTAGTGTCTGGGTTGGAATTTTAACTCAAGTCTGCCTGACTTCAAAGTATATACTTTTTCTTCTACAAAGTTCAGCTTCTTGAGGTTTCAAGTAAATTAAATAGATCTTAAAAGTTTAAGTATCTTTTACCAGTGCTTGAAAAGATGGTCTGTAGCCTAATTAAACTGTTCTCTGTTCCTGAGAGTGTAGTAAAGGTAATTAGAAGTATAGAAACTAGCTGAAAGTTTCCACTGTCTGAGTCAGTGGTTTTCAAAGTGTGCATGCTGGGCCAGCAGCATCACCTTCGCTTGGTCATTTATTAGAAGTGAAAATTCTCAGGTCCCACTCCAGACCTAAAGAATCAGTCTGTTTTGTAATACCTCTAACTGATTATGATACATTAAAATTTGAGAACCACTCATCTAGAGAAATTATTTTACTATCTTTAACCATCATTTCTCCTTATATAAGAGCTTTAGCCTAAGTCTCAGCCCTTAAGTACAAAATTAGCATTATTGAATAGTGGCAAAAGCATCGAGTCAAACAGGAGCTAGTTCTGAGTCTGGTTTAATAAACTTGTAAGGCTAGTTCACCTCCCAGAGCCAGTTTCTTGAGTGTATTTTGGTGTCTGTGTTTCTGAGTCTTTGTACATGCTATTTCTTTTGGACAACCCCACCTCCCACCCCTTTTTACTTCCCTAACTCCTATACATCCTTTAGATCCCTGTTTAGTTTACTTCCCTGGAGGGTGCTTTCTCTAACCCCTACCCTCCAGTCTCTGTGCTCATATAATAGCCTGTATTTCTACCATTATTGCACTTGTCACAAGTTTGGGAATTTCCTGTCTCCTATATAAATTTCATTGAGGGCAGGTACAGTGGCTTGTCTACCACCATATTCTAGGGATTAGTCAAATTCCTCACATATTGTAGGAGCTAATAAATGTTGAATGAATAAATGAATGGTGGCTGTCATTATTGTTTCTTCATCACCATCACCATCCAAGAGCAAGCTCCCCTCCTTGGCTTAATATTTTTTGTGCTGCTGTGACCATCATGAATAGATAGCATTAGCACCAGTTTTCTGTTTTCTCATTCCCTAAAAGCACATGCTTTGGCCTAAGATTACATGGTAGTTCACTGAGCTGCATCCTAACCATCGATTGCTCTGTATCACAGGTACCTTGAGGGAGCTGTGTGCCTTGATGGATCAAGTTCATCATATGCAGAACCAAAAATGGCAGCATCCCTCGGACCTCACCACACGGTGAGTGGGTGATTAGAAAAGGGAGGAAAGTAGGATTTGCCTGCAGAAGGAATGTGATGGGGAGTTGGGGTTGTAGTAGTTGTTTAATTCCATACGTGGAAAAAGCAGCAATTCAGTATAGTGGAATAAGAACTGGACTGAAATTCAGAAAATGTGGGTTCTTAATACTAGCTTTGTAGTTTTTAACTGGCTGCATGATCTTGATCAAGTCACTTCTCTGATCCACACATCAGTAAAGTTAATATGTTGGACTAATACTGATTGATGTCAAAGGGCATTTCTGGTTCTAAAATCTTCTGAATTCTTGATGCAGTGTGGTTTTACAGATTTATTCAGTTTCTTTGATCCAGTTACTCATAAACCTTGGAGTCATCTTTGACTCCTTTCTCACCCCGTGGTCAGTCCACTAGCAAATCCTATAAGCTCAACTTACAAAATATATCCAAAACCTTATTGTTTTTCATCATTTTCACTTGGATTACTGCACATCTCCTAAACAGTCTACTTCTGCCCTTGTTTATGCACTGTTCTTAACTCCGCAGAACTCAAAAGAGATTCTTTTAAAACGTAAGTCAAATTCTCTTCTTTGCTCAGAAATTTCCAGTGGCTTCCCACCTCACACTTTACAGCCTCACAATCCCCTCTAAAGGATCGTGACCTAGGCTGACATGGTTAGCTCACTGACCTCAGTTCCTGCTACTCTTCCCCTTGCTCACTCTGCTCACACTGGCTTCCATACTATTTTTCAAAAATGTCAGACATGCTCCCACTTCAGGACCTTTACACTCAGTGTTTCCTGTATGGTTGCCAAAATAACAGCTTAAGACAGTGTAGTGTAATGGTTATTAAGTAAGTTCCAGAGTCAGACAAATCAAATTGAGGCTCTTCTATTTACTCCATCATATAACCTTGGGCAAGTTATTTAACTTGAAACTATTTCCTTACCCATACAAGGAGTTAATGAGAGTGCTTTTCTGGTAGGATTGTTATTAGCATTAAATGAGATGAGGTCTTCAAAGAATTCAGCTTTATATATATAGGGCCAGGTAAAGATCAAGTACTGTTAGAATTAATTTCAGCTCTAGCCACTCCTCATAATCACCCGTGGAGATGTCCAAAATACAGATGTCCAGGCCCTGACTTCAGAAATTCTAAATCCTTGAGTCTGGGTTGGCAGGGGAGAGTGGCTAAGAGAATCTGTATATTTAAATTTTCTCAGGTGGTTATTAGAAACATAGGGAGTTGAGAATAGGATCAAATTGTTCTAGTCTTGTTGAGAACCCCACCAGGGCATATGTTAAAGGAGACTTTCAAGAAACTTTGAGTCTGTACTATTCATTATTCAGTCTAAACTTGCAATGGGATACTCGCATGATGATTTACCTTCTTGGGGAATTTTATTCTAATTTTAACTGCTGTGTCTTGAGCAACCTTGAGCTGTGACAGATAGTGAGGCCCTGTTGGAGATACAGGTTCATTGCAAGCAATGAAATATAGATCCCATTCTAAGTGTTTCTTAAGGGAGAAAATTTTTTTTCCTACTTAAATATTATTACATATTATATGTTAGGTTTTCCTAGAACATGTGCATATGTGTCACATATCACCAAAATACCTATGTGGAAATTAGGTGGCTTTGGAAGTTAGAAGGAAATAGCACTTAACTTACAGTGTGACTTTCATATAAACAAAATAGTGTAAAATTTCTGAAGTTCTGAAAATTGAAATATAAAATTAATCCAGTTTTCAAAAGTATTCTTAAAATAGTTGTCTTTGCCTTTTTTGCATACAAATAGCCATTCCAAATCTTTTCTGTTTTTATTTTCCCTCTCTCCTGATAGAAATTATGCCCGGTTCCGACGTTCTCTGCAAAGATACAGTCTGACTCAGTGGGTTGACAGGAACATGCGAAGCCACCATCGGTTCCAGCGGCTCTCAGATTTCCCGTGCAGTCCATTTGTCTCATCCCCTCAGCAGTAAAGGTTCATATTCAGGGTCCTGTCCAGAGCAGTATCTCATCTTCTGCTGTTTTGTGCTTTATAGATTTTGAGTTTTATTTTTCACAAGATTTTTATTTAAAGAATGTGTCACCTTTTAGAAATGCCCATTGCTGACTTGAATTTTTTTGTATAAGGTCCTTCCTGTTTGTGTATGTGTATAAGCAGTAATAAGTTGATATAGTTTTTATTTTTTAATTTAAGTTGAAGGTGGCTGCCTCCTGAACGCCATCATTAAGCCAAAACACGCTGGCTCAAGCCAAACGCCTGCCTCGGTGCAGAGGTGAAGCCTGCTTCTGGTGCCCAAAAGGAAATGATATTTTAATGTCTAAGGAAGAGATTATCAGGCTGCAAGCCAGTGTTTATTATTGCTGATGACTTAAAAATGGATCCAAGTCACTTTTAACAGCCCCTCTTACTTTTTATTTGAATCTCTGAATATCTATCAGTATTTGAAAGTTGGTAATCCAGGACATTGGAAGGAGGCTGGAGCAAGAAAAAATACTGTTCAAAGGACAAATTGAAAGTGTACATTTTTGCTTCTTTTTGTCCTTACTAGCTGCCTTTATTTTTTGGCTTTTTTTTTTCATTCTTCATTAAATTTGTTGTGCACAATAGTGCTTACAAATCTTCTACATCTTAACTCTGATAGGAGACTGCTGACTAACTCCTGTTGATTTGTGGTCTTGTGACTGATTATCTCTGCCATTCTTCTAGGCTTTTCCATCTTTTTTCTCCAGTGACACTGCTCCGTAGGGTTCTGTCAGCATATTCCTGAATCCTGTTATACATAGATAAGCCTCTTAAGAATAGCCTGGCTGCTCTCTTTATTGAAGAGCTGCCCACCCAGAGTCTTGACTCTGGAACAGGCCAGAAAGCCAGTGCTATTGAGTGTCAGTTAATCTTCAGTTTTCTAGTCTCATCTCCTGAACCCCAAATTCAAGTATGAGTTGTGTTAGTGGGTGAGCTTCCATCCTGTGGGAGAGACCTTGGAGAGGTGCTCTTTTGTCTCCATTATTATTTTACAAAAGGTGCCTTTAGACCCAGGATGTTGCCATCTCCTCATCTGGTCAGACCTCTAATACAGTTTCACAAAACTGCAAAAGTGGATCTAATGAAGTTGTGATTAAGCCTGTGCACAAAAGCATTACCTGACCTTATGGCTTGGTGGTCTAGCCCAAGTTGACAGACTTTGTGCAGCCATATTAATGGATATCTTAGAGTTTATTTTCTTTCCAGACAGCTGTGGGCATCTTTGGGGAGATTTTGCAGTCCAGCATTTGTGCTGCTGTTGTCGCCTGTCTGAAGGCTGTATGTAATTGCTGTAGTGCAGCCTGTGGTCCTAGGCTAGCTGCCTCTGTCTAATTTGCTTCATCAGCCTCATCTTTGTATGTGAGTAATCCATCTTAAACATCCTACCCTGCTTCAGAAACTGACTTGGGAAAAGCTTCGTCATTTAAGACACCAATAAACTTAGATGGATGTCCCTATGTGTTTACTGTTCTTAGCCAGGTGAGAGTTCTCTTTTCCTTGGACATTTGGTTTAGATTCTGGGACCAAAATGGAAAGGAGTTCTGTTCAAAGGCAAGAGTCAAAATCTGTTAGTTCAATTGGCATAATTGACATTTACATCATCACTTCTCCAAGTTTCCCTAAATTAGCTTGATGGAGTGAGACCAGCAAACATCCACCTTTGGAACCATAGCATAGTTAAAATTGTAGCTGGAATAACTAGATGTTCAGCTGCCTGCTTCCCCACAGGTAACCCAAGGAGTGAAGGGACAGGATTTCGCTTAGGCAAAAATATGTACAACTCATGTTCTTACCTCTCTGGTACCAGAGGTTTAAGTCTGACCGTGTAATAGAAGCACTGCCTTTGCCAAATAAAACAAGTGACAGGTTAACTAGAAAATGTGACAATCACATTTCCTCTTTGCTCAAATAATTGTTTTTCCAAAGCTTTCCTAGCTTAATGAAATCTGTTGGTCCGGAGGAGGAGAGAACTGTTCTCCAGCAGTTAATATGGTACTCTTTAAGGAGAAAAAGCCAAAGAAAACTCATCAGGCCTATTTACCTAAAAGACGGTAGTGGGTAAAATCTGGAGTTTTTAAAGCTGCATCTCTCATATTTGGTGTTGGTCTCTAAGTCTAATGTTCCATGTGGAATTCTTGCTATGTTGTTTTATTGGAATAAGGGTTATATGCATTTAACTGCTTACGTAGCTTTCATCATGACGACATTCTCGCCACAGGGGTCTTGACAGAGCAAAGTAAAAATGTGCTGTTTACATAGTTTACTTGTAAGCAAAGCGCCTGAAATAACCTGTAGTTCTGCATCTAATGCAGGCCCTGGTTTACTTGAGTTGTCAGGATCAATTATGAAACTGAAGTTTGGTGCCTCTTTATCACGTTTTTTCTCTTGTAGCAGTTGTGTTTAATGTCATTAAAAAGAAATAAAAGTTCTTGTCAGTGGCATACACGCACTGTGGCCGTCTGTTGCGGGCTTTGAAGGAGGGTTCCTTCCTCCTTTGTGTAGGTAGGTTAGTGGGGTATGGAGGGGGAGGCACTTAGTAGAATGTGGTACTGGGGAGGCAAGGGTGCCTGCTCCCTACTATTTTGAGTGTAAATTACAGTGTTAAGAAAGGCGTTCCAGCATTTAAGAAATGTTGAAATTGGCTGGGATTTGCAGCTACATGTAGGGCATGTCAGGAACCTGACAGGGGAGCCTGCAATAATGCTGTGCTGCTGTTTTTGCAGAGGGGGACAAGGGCTCAGCCCCATCAGACAGGCACTGCCTTGCATTCTTCCCAGGGCTGTGTGGTTGGCCTCTGTGTGTCTGCCTCTCCAGAGCTAGCCCTGATTAAGAAGCCAAGCTATCCTGGGGCATTCTCCCTTTGAGAGGGATGTAAGAAACCAGAATTGATAGTACAAAATTGATGGTTGTTCTTAACCTAACTTCTCCAGAAACTGACTGCCCCTAGAACCTGGGGTGAAGGTTGGAGAAGTGTGGGTAGATGTGAGACACAGTGCTCCTTAGGTCCCTATTGTGAGCCTAAGCTTCTTAGACCTACCCCAGGGGCCAGAGTGAAAGGGAAGGCAATAATAGCTTGTCATCTGTTAGCCAATGCTTCTCTGATATCTCAGTTTGTGCTGAGAAAGTAGCAACATGTTTGGAAGGCTCTCTGCTGTTCTGTAAGTTTTGCCCAGTATTCATTCTATAGTGCAAGTAAAAGGTTCAACATAAATTTGCTACTCAACTCATTGATATTCTGAGGTTTTGACCTGTACGTATCCATTTTGTTCCTGTCAGATGTAGATGATTATTTGTCCAGGAATTGCTAATTTCCTTTCTAGCAGTTCGTTACTATAGGCATCAAAGGTTTCAGAGACCAGGCTGACTTCTCTGAAAGGGTGATGTTCCTTACTCCCAGTTCATCTTACATTATGGAATTGTGAGAAGGAGAAAGAGAAATGGGCCTTCTCTAAAAGGAATGGGCTCATTCTCTAACTAGCCTATTGTGAGCTTTTTACAGGAAGAAAAAAAAAAAAACCCAACCACTAGAAAGAGTTCCCTGCTTTTTCTTACAAAAAAAAACTACTATTCCTAAACTGATTCTAGGGTGTGCTTGCTTTGTATGCCAGAGCACCTGTCAGGAAAAAAGTTTGCACTTGTCACAGGAAGTATCAGCTGGTCAATGGTGGAATTCCTTAATGAACAGCTCCTGCCTTGCCAATCCTGCCCACCTGCCCTCCGCCTGTGACAGATGGAACATGCCACAGACAGAAAATCAGACCCTCCCCAACACCTACTATAAAGGGGGTGGAATATAGTCATGGGCAAACTTGAAGGCAGTCCATGTGATAGTCCTGAAATATATCATTAGGGAACCATTGTATATAAATTCTTCAACTTAGCTTCAAATAGCATCTGAGGGTTTGGGAATATTATACTGATGGGGTTTGGTGGCGCCAGGGCTGTAGTGGAGGGTGTCCCGTTTATAGAAGCAGTTTGTTCTTGAGGGCTACTTAAAAGCAATATTGCCAAACTCAAATAGATTTAAAGAGGGTAAGGATAAAGTAGAAGTCTGAAACATCACATGATGGTGAGACATCATGTGATAAAAGGGTTGAATTCGTGATCTGAAATGTGGATTCTAGAGGAGGCCCACACTGAGAAGCCAGGGGTTAAGGGGACAAGCTTAGAGAAAGGGACTCCTGCCCAACAGAAACCCCAGTCCTTCCTCTCCTCAGGTCCTGGGTTTCCCTAGTGTTCCTGTGAGAAAGTCCCTTGGCTCCTACTCTAGGTGGTGGGTGGGAGCTGGGAATCCTCTGTTCTTACCCCTTTGTTTTTCGCTAAGGAAACCAAGCCCCCTTCGCACCTCAAGTTACTGGCCTGAGGTGTCTTGTGATTTTAAGGCAGGGTCTCCTACATCTCAGGCCTGGTTGCCTCCCTCAGGCCTGCTATGGTCTGCAAGTCAGGTCTCAGTCTCAGAGAACTTGCCCAGAACCTTCCCAAGCTATGAGGCATCTGCCCATCTGAGGGAGTGGTGAAGAAAGGACCACATCCCAAGTCGAAGCTGTAGGAAAAGTTGATGGTTACAGAACTTTGAGGTTCAGGGAGGCAGTCAAAGGGGATGAAGTTTACCTACGCCAGGAGAGTTCTCACTTCTCTCATAGCTCCCCATGCCTTTAGCTGATGTATGTCCCACAGGTGCAGATAAGCTGAAGGCAGGACAGGCAGTGCCCCCTGAGCCCCACCAAGCTATCTACCTGATGCTAACTTGAGGACTTCTCTAACATTTGGCACTAGATAGGCACAGAGGGCCTGGGCAGAACCTCTGAAGTTCGGCTTAGAGTTTTGTGTACTGAGCAATTTCCCACTTCCCCACCCAGCCTCTAAGGCCTGCTTTCTTTCTCTCAGAACCTTCCCAAACTGTCTGCCCTATGCCCTGCTCGCCTGACGTTTTCTCTCCAAGTTCTTGCTAGCTCTGGACAGAAATGTTCAAGGCACCCTATTGACTGGTTTGCTCATTGGCTAATGGCATTGTTTCTCTACCTTTTGGCCTGCTTTGGGGATCATGATGATCCTTAAACAGCCCAGAACAGCATGCTGCGGATACCAAGCTGCAGCGGCAGCTTTTCAGTTCCTCTTCACTTCCTTGCTCACCCTGGGGAGAAACAGGAATTGCCTTCCCCGCACCAGAGGGGGAAAACCCTTTGTTTTAAAAACAGCACCAGTGCACATACCTATGCGGTGTGGCAGCCCAAGCATGGACTGTGTTGGGGGGTGGGCCTCAGTAATAGGAAGATGGAGCAGCTATTTTCTCCTCCTACACGTGCATCCCCATCTGTTCGAGATTTCCCTTCCAACTCCAGCTTGGCTGGCAGGCATGTCCCTCAGAAGCTGCAGGCCAAGATGGAGAGAACTGACTTCCTCCTCCACACATCCTGACTTGCTGCCAATTGCCAGAAAAAGAGGGCAACATTTGGGCATTTACCAGAAGACAAGGATGTGCCTTTTCATTTGTCTTTTTATTTTACATTTAAAAAGTAGTTATTGCTCTAACTGGATCAGAGGTAAGGACCTCTCCCCTAAGGAGCCTTGGCCTCAGCCCCATTCAGCAGGGATGGAAGTCACAAGACAGTGAGTGGAGACAAATGTCCTTCCATGATGAAGCCCTTAGTATTGCTGACATCTGCCTTTTACCCTGTCTCTCCTCCCTCCCTGTGCTGCCACTTCAGGGCAAAGCAGAGTGGTGGCTGACCCAGCTGTGAGAGCTCTTATAGACCGGAAGGAAGGGGCGGTCATTGAGTGATGGCTTTCAGCTCTCTGGCTTGGGGGCCATTGCTTTTAACATCCAGTTCAAGGTATTCACTAAGTGCCTACGATGTGCCAGGCTTGTGCTAGGCACAGTCCCCCCCACATGCCCATCCTTACCCACCCATGGAAGATACAGAGGTCCATCTCTTCCCAGGCATGCATGCAGCAGCCAGAACTTGTCAGTCTCAGGGAAGAGTCTGCCTTTCCTTATCAAGCACCATTTTTTTTTTTAACCATAAAGGAGCAGTGGAGACCTGTCACCTCATACCACTCAGGCTCTAGGGAAGGACATGAGGACCCTGGGTAGCTTTGACAGAAGCCTGGATGAGATGGCAGAATAATGGAGACCCCAGAGGCCAGGGCTGCTCTCACCATGGTGAGTAGCTCAGGCCTGCCTTCCAGCACCTTCTACTCCAGAGTGCGTATTTTAACGGCCCCCATGTGGACGTACTTTTTCAGCTGTACAAGCCAGCACTGTTACAACTCCAAAGTGACTTTTCCTAAAGAAACGGACCAATACCTTCCAGTCTCTTTCCTACTTTGTCTTCTTAAGATCCCAGACTGATGATCTTACAGTCAAAAGAAGGGCCAAAGAAGACAGGGGATGCAGGCAACCAGCTGGGGAATCCTTCTGCCCTCTGGAGTAAAGCCCTTCGATTGTGTTTTCCAAAAGAGACAAAACAGATAACATCTTACACACTTGCAAAATTGTACATAACACCACAAACATGTCCTTGATGGCTGGATCCAGAAAAAGCTTGATGGCAGCCATGACCCTGCCCAGCAGGCAGCCCCACGGCTTCCCTGATGGTTTTCAGTCTGAAAGACACAGCCTGAGTCAGTCTGGGTGCTTGTCATCTCCCAGGAGCTTTTGTGCATTTTCTCAAAGAGGAAGCCAGTCCAGGAGAGGCAAGGAGACAGAAAGAAGGCTGTGTCTCCTGCAGCTTTGCCTTTTCCAGAACGGGGCCAGGCCTCAGTTTTGTGGCTTATTTTTTGCAGAATTGGGGTTTGTAGTTCAGCCTCCTTCACCAGAGTAGGACGGGGGCGGGGAGAACTGTGCAGCTAGCTGTGCCTCCCCCCACTGCAGTCCTCCCCTCCCCATGCCCATGGACCTTCTCCCTGCAGACAGGCGGTCATGCTTCGATGATGTTCACCAAGGGCTTGTTTGGAAACTGGGAGGAAAAAAATGAGAAAAGCCGCCAGGGCAAATAGAATAGACTTCTTGCAGGGTTGGAAACAGGAAGAGGACACAAGAAGGAAGGGAGCAGCAGAGCTGCAGCCTAAAAGCCAGGCTCTTGTCCCATGTGGAAGGAAGGGAGAGCCCTGCCTGCGTATCTTGTCTCTCTGCCTCCTCAAACCCAGCCTCGGGCTCCCATAACTGAATGGCCAAGACTGGCCCCTGGCACCCAGTCCACCCCCAGTGGGACCATCCCACTGGCTGGTTCTCTCACATCCTGCAGTTCTGCCTCTGAGCATAGCCTCAGCCACTGACATTGAGGTGCTTCTGGAGATGGGGGTTAACAGGAGGCTTCAGGAAAATGCGCCAGAAAAAGAGAAGCCAAAAGAGAGGACAGTAAGCCAGAGGGTGTGAGTGGATGGAAGGAGGAGGGAGTGTAGAGAGGGCCAGATGTTTGCTTGTTGGGTTCTCATCATCAGGACCATGAGATCCTCTCACATTCTCTACTGGCTTTCTTCTGAGCTGCTCAGAGCAAACACTGAAAAGGTTTTCAGATCTGTTATACAGAAGAGGAAATGAAGGTACAGAGAGGTGAAGCACCTGTCCAAGGTCACACAGCACAGCGGGAGCAGAAATGAGCCCAGAACCCCTTCTCTTGCTGCCCCACACCAGTCAAGAATTCTGCCCTCCCTATTGGCTGCCTTTTTTGTCAGACCCCACTGGCCCTTGGCACCCTGCAAAAGCAGAGGATCCAAAATCGATTTGTAGTGTCCCCGTGTCACACAGATAGCAGCCAAGTTTGGCTCTGTCCGGCTGCAGCTGTGCCAGGCCCTGAGCTGACCCCTTTTGCAATCCAGGGATGACCAGCACACAAGCCAGGGGGCCCCCCACCCAGGCCCGAGTCCTGCCCTCACCTTGCTGCGGAGAAGACCCCCGCCTTGGTGCTCTGGTGTGCTGGTTTCTGACGCACTCTTGGTTTTTTCCTTGTTGTTATTGGGTTCATTGTCCTTGATGATGTCATACTGGCGGCAGAAGAGGGCAATGACGCCTGGGGGCGCCAAAGGAGAGCAGTCAGAGGCCAGAGCCCAAGTCCCTGTCGGCACTTACCCAGATGGTCTCTCAACTGCACTACTGCAACAGTCTGCCTCTGGCCTCTGGCTCCTGTGTCCACCTGGCCCCTTACCAGCCATCCCTTTTCCGCTGCTGGGTTGATCTTCCCACAATAGGCATCTGATCATGTCTCCCTTCCCTTTTCAGACCTCTGACAGCCCCCCTTTCCCTTTAAGGGTGAACAGAGACAAGGCATCTGCTGAGCACTGGCAGCCCTGAGCTGTGCACTCCCTGAGTCTGGACAGCTTCACAAGGGCGCCTCTGATCCTCTCAGAGAGGACGCTGGGGGCTTAGATAATTTACTCAAGGTCACACAGAGGTGGAGCTGGGCTGCGCACTCTAGGGCCTGCATTCTGCTAAATGTTTGTTATCAAACTAATAATAGATGAATATAATTTCTTTTGGAAGTCAGTATCAAGGCAGCCAGTTCCAATTCTTAAAAGAGTTTTCCCCATTTTTACCTTTGTGCTTTATTTATAGTGCTGTTCCTTGATCTACTCGCTTTAGAGAGTATCTTTTCACTCTCCACCATGGTAGATAAAGCCTTATAACTCCCCCTCCTTCCTTCCCCATCATCCTAACAGAATTACTTCACAATTTGGGGTTAATTCACTGTGCTTATATAGTTATGATTATGTAAATACTGTCTGTGCCAAGTCTAATAATGCACCATAAGCAAACCTCCTCTTTTGTAAAATCCTTTGTTTTTCCTGTTTGTTTTTTTTCCCAGTGTGCCTCTGGGACATTTTTTAAAATAAATGCTTCTAAAACAGAAGCTGTCCTCTCGACCACCCTGTAAATATAGCTTTGGCACAGTGGTCAAGTGGCTCTGAACGACTCCGGCCTACTCTCCAGCCTCCCCGTCCTTTACTCCATTTCCGCCTTCTCTCTCAGGGTGCAGCTGCCCTGAGCCAGACTGAGCTTAACATGTTTCTTGAAAACACCATGCCCAGAACACCATTCCTTTTTTTGGCTGCCTGGTAAACTCCTATTCATCCTGTAAAGCTCAATTCCCATGTACCTCCTCGCTGTGTTTTTCCTGATTTCTACTCCTAGCCCCAGAATTAATTCCCTATCCTCTGTTTCCATTACAGCCCTCATCACATTGAATTACAGTTAAATATGGGCCTGGATTCTCTCAGACTGAGCTTTCTGCAAGCACAGGGCTCCTCTCAGTCATGATTGTAGCACTACTATTTGGAATGGAGTGGCGCTTCAGAAAATGCTGGTTGACTACAAAGATGAAATTCGTTCTTCATCCTCAGGGAGCTCATGGGAAAAAAGACACATGAGCCTGACTACCTTAATTTAAGAAGGGCTCAAGAGAGGAGCAAAGAGTGCTGTGGGAGCATGGAGGTGGGGAGACGTTCTAATGGATGGGTGAGGGAAGTTTTATGGAGGTGGTCTGAGAGGTCTCCGAGGATGTGCCTGAGGCACTTGGCGGCACAGCGACCCAGAAGTGGGGCGAGAGCCTGTGAAGCCGCGGCCAGCAGGTGCAGGGGCTGTGGCTATCTACTCTCAGGAGCCTGAGGCACCCTGAGGGAGGGGAAGGGCCAGTGCTCCTCCTCCAAGGCAGCTCTCAATGTGTTCTTCTGGCGAGGGCTAAGTCAGCAAACGGACCAGAGCCAGTCCGCGGAGCAGGACTCAGAGACTCCTCACACTGCCTCTCAGCTGTCTCCAGGCCTCTTACCCTTTGTTTCTGTGAGAGAAGGAGCCTGGTCAGGGGCCTCCATTTCCCAGAGTTAAGCAAAGAAGGCCTTGGAGGCCAGACTCACCGGCCCACATGAACAGGACCACGATGATAATCAGCACCTCGCCCGTCCGCAGCTGCTGGTTCCTCCCCATCTCCTTCATGGTCACCTCATCTGCGGGGAGAGAGACACTCAGTTCAGGGCTCCCCTCCTCCAGGGTCAAGGCTAGGACATCAAGCGCTCGTTCTACAGGTGCCCACATGGCTCACTAAAAGATTCGAGACCATGCTGGGGTCCACTTGGGGTGACAGTGATAGGACTTAATCCAGTTGACAGTTCATATACCCATTATCTTGGGGACTAGAGAGTGAGCTCCTCTCTCTCAGGTGCTGCTCTACTTGGCAGCAGGGGCTGGCGGGGAGGAACAGGGGAGTTAGCGTTTTCCTGAGGCCACCCACTGCTCAGGCTGACCACCCTCACCCAGTCCCTTCCTCAAGGGACCCAGCATGCCTTTGTTCTTGGAGGCCATCTTCTCAGCCTCACGAGGGGTCTTGAAGAGCACCGGCTCACTGGCAGGACTCTGGCCTTGAATGGAGATGGCCTGCACGTGCACGATGTACTCAGTGTCCTCCTCCAGGTCCCAGAGGGCGCATGAGCGAGTGGTAGTGTTCACCTCCTGGATGAAGCGCAGCATCCGCACGTCCTTTTTCTGCCAAGGCAAAAGCCGGGCCCACTCTTGCCCTATCCAGTCACCAACTGCACTCTGCCCACCTCTCCAGTGGAGATAAGGGCTCACCTGGCTACCATGCTACATCCTGTACATACACAATCTTCCCTATGTATCCCCTCCTCTCAGCAGCCAGGTATCCTTTTACAGATAAGGAGACTGGTACAGAGGGCTTAGAAAGGTTGCCCACGACCATCCAGTGAGAACCAGAGCCAGGTCCTAAACTCAGGTCTGTTAAAGATCAAAACCATACTCTTAATTCCTAGGTGCCACTCAAAGGCCCCTGAGCCCTCCGTAAAAAACTGATCCCCTTCTGGGACTCCCCTTTCAGGCCATATGTATACTTTTTCTGCCTGCCTCTCTTGCTCCTCCTTCCTTTCTCCTTTCTGTTTCTGCATCCCCTCCTCCACTACCATCCCGAGGAGTTCTTGCCTCTTAGACCTGGAGGGTTACCTGCTGAGAGATGGCAAATCCGATGACAACCTCGTCCTCCAGGACATCCCAGCTCACCACTGCGGAGTTGGCCTTGAGGTGCCTGACAGTGACATTCACCGGGGCCGAGGGGCTGTCTGAGGGGTGGAGGCACCTGAGCCTGAGCACCCCCTGCTGTCAGGCCCAGACCCACTGTCTCCTAAGTGGAAACCTGGGAAAGGTCATGCAATGGGGGAAGGAAGAAACCATAGCCTCCGATGGTTGGTCCATGGGTCTCAGTTCCTTAGTAGTTGAAGAATCAGTCCTGTGAGGCCCGAGGCTCCTTATGTCCAGGACAGGACATAATTTGCCTGGCCACAACTGTCCCTAACAGGGGTCCAAGCAAAAACTGATGGGCCTGGGCCAGGGTCAGATCCAACAGAGAGGCAGTAAACTGGGGGGTGGCAGGTATGAGCGGGGCATAGATGGCAGGGGTTGTAGGACCTGAAGGTTAAGTCTGGTGAAAAGTGGTCAAAAGGACTCCCAGTCTAGTGCTCTTTCTACAATATGGCACTGTCAAATGAGTGACCTTGAGGGAAGGAGAAAACCCAGAGGTAGAGAAGAGTCAGGCTGAGGTGAGCTCTGAGATGGGAGTGAGGATCAAGGAGGAACCCCCAATAGTGTGGTGACCCAGGAGGAATGAAGCCTAGGGAAGGGTCACGTGAGCCTCTTTACACTGCCAGCCCCAAGAGACAGGTGGGGGGATGCAAGAGGAAGATGGGGTCACTCAGAGCAGGGCCCCCTTGTCAGAGAGTAGAGAGTACAAGTTAGGGTCATCTGGGTGTGGGAAGAGGATGAAGGGGGGCCAGTCAAGAAGGCAGTAGGAAGGACGGCAATGGGGACCGTGGGGGTCAGGGAAGGAAGAACCTTTCCAGGAGAGGGGCAGTGGAGCTGCAGAAGCCTCTGTATTTTCCTGGGGCAGGGCCAGTGCTGCAAGGGGAAGACCCGGGCCTGAACAGCACCCCTCACCCACAGAGGAGGCCTGCGGCCTGGGGAGACAAAACCATACATGGAGATGTAGAGAGACGGACACAGACAGGTGGCGGCAGACACAACAAGAGAACAGACAAGTGGGGTACCAGAGACAGAGACAGAAGCAGAGAGCACTGAGCCATGGAGAGATGGGTAGAGGGACCGAGGAGTGACGGTGGCAGCCAAAGAGCAGACACAGGCGTGAGGAGGGGCTGCCTGAGGGTAAAGCTGCGCCCCACTGGCACCAGATGCTGGCTGCACCAGGCTCAGGGGGCCATCCCCCCTAGGGTACTAGTTCCCCATTCCTTTACACATGCCCAGGTACTCTGGGACCCCAGCCTGCTCCGACCTGCACTGTTGTCCTGCAGGGCTTTGGAGACAGGGAGGGAGGCCCAAGGTTGAGGGACGGGTGTCCTCAGCTGCTCCCAGGGCCAGAGGAGGGAGCTAGGGCAGCTGAGGCAAAGGCCTGGGGTCAGGGCAATGGGATGAGGGGCCTGGAGGGTCACAAGACTAGACCGAGGGCTGGGGTGGCGGGAAGGGCTCTGGGGGTCAAGCAGGTAGGGAAGAGGCTGCGGGGGATTGGGAGAGCAGTGAGTGGGGCAGAGTCGGGGCCCCCAGGGAGCAGGGAAGGGACCTGAGGGCTCCCTTGGCTGCCACAGGAGAGGAGTCCGCCCCGGCGCCTGCCCGCCCGCCGGGCCCCCTTACCCGCCTGCACCAGCGCGAGGCAGACGTAGCCCAGCCACAGGCGGAGCGCGGCGCCGGGCGGCCCGGGGTGCATGGCGGCTCCTCCGGCCGGCTGGCCCGGGGCGGCGCAGGGGGACTCGGCTCCGGCACCCGGCGGCCGCTCGCGCTCGCGCTCCGGCCCGCGGCCCGGCCGCCCCGCGCCGCCCCGCGCCGCCTGCATATCGGCTCCGCGGACAGCGACTCCCGCGCGGCGGCGGCGGCGGCGGCGGCGGCGGGCGGCTGCCGCGTACACGTCGGGCGCCCGAAAGGCGGGGCGCCCCCGCTGCGGGGAGAGGCGCGGGGCGGGGTGAGGGGTGGAGGGCGCCCCCTTCGCGCCCCCCTCCCTCCGAGGCCGGTGGCCCGCGCCCGCGGGGCTGAGCGGACGGGCGGCTGTCATCCTCTGGCGGTGCGGAGTCCAAGCGGTCCTCCGCGCCCCCACCACCACCAAGCCAAGCCCAAGCTCGTAGCCCCGGCCCCGCCAGCCCTGACCCGGCCGTCGTCTCTGCCCTTTCCCACGGGAAAGGTGGGCAAGTGCCACGGGGACGCTCAGCTGTGCCCCATCCCACCCCGCCCCACTGCTGACCGCCCTCCCTCGGGCTGGGGTCCCATCCCTCACTCCACCCCAGCCCCGCGGCCTTGCTGGCCAGTGTGCAGTGAGCAGAGGGGAGCAATCACAGTAGCGATGGAGGTGACTAGAATGCTGACGAGGGGCTGGGATGCATACAGTAGGTGCTCAGTGTTTATTTTACCACAGGCCGAGAAGAGGTGCTCTGACTCACTGTGGGCCTGGCTCTGGGACCCCCATCAGTCCTTCCCCTTCTTTGGGCCTCCCGTTTTTATCCACACAATGACAACTAGCCCTACTAGGTGCCAAATACAGTGCTGAGAGCTTTACTTGAATTATGCCGCTTTCCCACTGCGACCCTATAGAGCCTGCTCTGTTATCCACCAGCAGCTCCAAGAGGTTACCTGACTTGCCCAAGAACCCATAGAAGAGCCAAGATTTGAACACAAGCTGATCTGTCTACCAAATGTATGCTTGATGCCCCCATCTCCCCCTGCAGACTGAATTTGCCGGCCCTGGGATCCCTGAGATCCTAGAACTTGCCTGTGCCAGCTCCTCCCCAGCCAGAGGATCATCTGGAACAATCTCTTCCCCAGAGCAGGGTGAGGGAAGAATGGCTCCGCCGCCCCCATGCTGGCCTGGCTGAACACTGTGAGCAGTGACTGAGCTAATGGCGTTGAAGTGCAGGGGGCTTTGAACACGTGGCACAATCGCAGTTAATAAAAGGGCTTCAGTGATCCCTTCTCATAAATCTGGGGTCATTCATATGCCTGTCACTGTCCCTACCTCAGTCTCACACACCTTTTTGCCCAATCTACTCCTCTTTTGATGTTGGAATGGCAGGGAGATACCCTGGTCCTGCACCCACCACTCTCTCCATAATGAGGACCTCTGGAACACCAGGCAGCTAGGGAAGGCCTCACCTCCACCCACCCTGTGACACTGTCCACCCTGAGTCCCAGTCAGAGAAACAAGGTCAAGGAGAGGCACAGCCCAGGGTCCTAGGGCCACTGACATGGAGGGGCCACCCATCCTTCCAAATGAGGGAGCAGAAATGAGCCCAGAACCCCTTCTCTTGCTGTCTGAAATCCCACCTTCAGGCACTGTCTGAAATCCCACCATTAGGTGAGCATTCCTTTGGGTCTTAAAGGCCTCTGGCCTTCCAGAGGCCCTGGACGGGCTGATCTGTTTTGAAAAAGAACACCTTGCAAAATTACCCCACGGAATGTCTTCAAGATCTCCCCGCCTGCCATTTTTAGATCAAGCAGCTGAGGCACAGTGATGGGAAGAGCTTGGTGCAAATTCACAGTGAACCTGAGAGCACCCTCATCTCCTGACACCCACCCCAGGACTCCTTGCACAGACCCCCAAGTCTCTGCTTGGAAAGGGTGAGATGGGAGGGGGCTCAGGGGCTCCTGCTGAGCAGTGGAAACTAACTGGCTAGACACTCAGTACTCCCAGGCCTGCTGCTCTGGGCAGGCTGACACCCCCAGCCCCACCTGCTTCCTCAGCCACATACCTTGTCCTGGGGCGAGCCTTCGTTGAGACTTCCACCTGTTTGGGAGAGGAGCTAGGAACCAGAGCACCTCCCTCCTTTTTCTCTTTCTCCTTTTCTTCCTTTCTCTCTCGTTCTCTCTTCTCTCCCAGCAGCTGCTTTCTGCCCCACCCAGCCCGGCTCCGCCCCGCCAGCTGCAGCTTGGCCCCTAGGGACCCCTCTCACCCACCAGGCCGGAAAAGACAACCCGGGGCCTGCGGGAACAACTGGAGTCTCCTTAGGCCTTATCACAGGAGCCAGCGGGAAGGAGAGGGGTCAGTTAGAGGTCACAGAGTCCATTCCTGTCCCTGCTGGCGAGAAAAGGAGGGAGGGAGAGGGTCCTGGTGGTGTCTTGTACTGGGGGGAAAAGGAACCTGAGCGCCACCTGCTGGCCTCTCCAGATATAACCCCAGGTAGAAGGGTACTCCGTTGAGGGAGATGGCTGAGCCTGCTGGTTTGAGAAGGATGGGGAAAGGTGGCTGAGGAGGGGCCACCAAGGGCAAGGAGGATTTGGAGAGTTGTGGCTGTGGGTGTGTAGCCTTCCGAGACCCCATGAGGCATAGGGTGCTTGGGTATTATGTCGTTCTGGGAAAAGTTCTGGTATCTGGAGCCTGGCAACCAGTAGAAGCTAGGTGGGGAATGGAAAGAGCTGAGAAGATTAAGAAGCACCCTGAGTGATCTCAGGAGAGGGCTTCAGGACCAGCTGCTTCATGTACAACATCTGCACACTTAGCAGTAGGCATTCTAATAAATGTCTGTTGAATGCATAGAATACATTAATTCTTCCAATATATACTTATTGAGCACCTATTATGTACCACAGGCTCTGTGCAACATTTTGGAAATACAGCAGTGGAAGAATGAAGAAATGCATGAATGGGGATCTCAGAGGGGTTTGAGTAGTGGACCTCTGTCTGCCCAAGCTATACAGATCTGTATTTGGAACTCCACAGACATCTCCTAGGAGTCTGGCTGGTCACTTACACATTAGCATCTCGGGGGTCATGAGCAGAGCATTTGGATCTCCTGAGTGTCCAGTGATATCCAGGGTCCCAGCATACAACCTAGGCTGCAAAGCCCAAGTCAGATCCCAGGAAACCATTTAGAATGGGAAGGGTCCTTCCTATTCACAGCCTAGAATGGCCACGGCCTGTCTAAGGCATACCCTAGATACATGCACCCAAATTGCAGAAAGTATCAGCAGAAGAGCAGAAGATTGCTCTGGGGATATAATTACAAGCACTTACCAATACCTTGACTTTCTGGCCATGTTGTTTTGAGTCTTAGGCTGGTGTGTGTTATTGGCTTCCATCCCAGATGAGGAAGCTGAGACTCAGAAAGGTGTCGGGACTTGCCCTGTGTCACTTAGGCAGTGAATTATGAAGCCATGTCTCAAATTCAGTTATGTGGCTTCAAGTTCAGGGCTTGATCCAGTCTGCCTACCTCCTACCTTCACCCTTGGGGGCTCCTGACAGAAGGGTTCCCAGGTGCAGTGCTCACTAGAGGACATACATTTTCCTTCCCTGGAGGGCTTGATAGGACTTGCTGCTCACAGAGGCAGTCACTGAGCCCAGGCCCAAGACCATACTGGGCAAGGGACCCACCATTCACTCAACATTTCTCACATGCTGTATATTACATGTATGAGAGAAGCTTCTTTGGAATCCTTACAACCCTGAGCAGTTGGGATAGTTACACCCATTTAATGGATAAGCAAACATAGGCTCAAAGAGAGGAAGTGGCTTTCCATAGGTCACAGCTGGGAGACACTGGTCTGGTCTGTCTTATTCCCAAAGTCCCACCACAGCAGTGATGAGGCCAGCCCAGCTCAATGTTTTCTGAGTGCCTGTGGCAGGCCAACCTGGGGTTGGGTGCTATAGACGTAATGATGAACCTGACTGGTCCTAGCCCTTGAGGAGGTCCCATAATGAAGGAGGAGAAAACACTCAACATACAGAGAGAAGACTGTCCTCTGGATCAGGAGCACTAACTTAAAGGAAAGCAGGGAAGGCCTCTGGGAGGAGGTAATGCCTGAGATTAATTAGTACAGATGGTCAGGTGGAAATTAACCAGATGAGGGGAAAGGAGTAGAGGGAAAAAGGAATTGCTCTCTCTGAGGCCTGGGAGAGCATAGTGTTTATGTGGAGGAGAAACAGGAGGGTTAGTTTCTCCTCCAGACTAGTGGGCAGGGAGGCCTAGAAGGGGTTGTTACAAGCTCTGGGTTGGGACAATGGGAGCTGGAAAAATAGGACTGGATTTGAAAGATGTTGCAAGATAAGTCAGGGGTAGGGAGGGGCTTTATTCATTCAACAAATATGTATAAGCACCTAGTAAGTGCCAGGTCCTATGCTAGTCCTGGGGACACAGCTGTGAACAAGATGACCAAGTCTCCACCCCCAAGAATCTCACACTGAGTAGGAGAGCAGGCAATAGACAAGTGGGCTGTGAAACCCGGGGCCTGAGGAAAGGAGTAATGTGGAAGAGAATGGCTGGGTGGGGTAATGTTAGGTAGTGTGGTCTGAGGGGGTGTTCTAGATCTAACTAAGACCTAAAGAAGGAAAAGGGGGCAGCTATAACATGTATCACAGGAAGGCAGCTCCAACCACAGGAAGCATGTGCAAAGGCCCTGGGGTAGGGCCAAGCTTGGCATGTCTAAGAAACTTAAAGAAGCCGGTGAGATTAGGGCTTTGTGAGCAAGAGAAAATGAAGGTGGTTAGAATCTGATAGCATAGGCCCTGGGTGGGAGGTGGGGGTGTGGAAGAGAGATGAGAGTAATTCCACTTGCAGTGGGAAGCTTCTAAGAGTGAAGAGAGGTCACCTGATTTACATTTTAAAAGGCTCGCTTTGCCTCCTCCAGTGTGTGGACCAGACTGCAGAAAACCGGGCAGTGACCTGTGAGGAGGCAAGGAGGCTACCAGAAAGGCTTGGGTAGTGGCAAGGGACGGGGAGAGAAGTGGATGGAGGATCTGGGACACTTTTTGTAGGAGGAGCTGATGGATGAGACACAGTGAAAGTGGAGAAAGGAGATGAAGAGGGAGTAGGGTGGGGGGTGAGGGGCAGGTCTCCAAAGTCTGGATTCTAAGCCAGAAACACCTGGCTGGGGGACACTGGGCCAGTCACTCCACCTCTCTGAGCCTCAAATCCCTCCTCTTGAAAAGGAAGATAATATTATCCACACCACAGAGGGGTGGAAGTGATGGGGGTGGGGGGCTGAGGTAGAAAAGAGGAAAAATAAAGAAAAAAGGGAGAGAAAAAGGGGGAAGAGGGAGCAGAGGAACAAGGGAGAAGCAGACAGAGGGGCTGAGTACAGGCCTTCCAACTGGGTAGAGGAGACCTCAAATCTCTTTAGTTCTTCAGAGTACAAAGGAACTGACTCCCATATGATGGCACTCAGAGAAGTTGAGAATCTTGCCCAACATCACACAGCTGGCCAGTGGCAACTCTGGGCCCCAGCTTTGCTTGTGAAACAGATTTTCAGCTAAAAACCACAGTCCCTAAGATCCATCAAGAGCAGTAGGGCCAAAGGCCCAGCTATGGAAGGGGTGTGGCAGGAAGTGAAGGCAGCTGGAGTAAAACTTTTTCCCCACCAGGGGAAAAAAAGCCTAGCATCCGGCAGCCCATGGGTTCAAGCCCCAGCTCGCGCCCTGACTTGCTGGGTGACCTCAGATACCACCATCAAGGACCCGCCCACCTCCTGCCTCCCTCAGCCTGAAGGAACGGAGCTCGGCTGGAGGAACATGCTGAGCTAGGGCACAGCCAGCAGAGGGCGTCCACCTTGGCCGTAGTGAAGGCCGTGTTGCCTGGAACCGGAAAGTCTCCAGGGACCCGGAGCCCCAGCTGGGCAAGGCCGCCCTGCCTCCTCCTTTGCTCCCTCGGGCGTCAGTCCCAGGAGGCCAGCTCAGACCACAGACTCAGCAGCCAGGCAGAGCCCAAGTTTCACTCTCACCGCAGTGCACAAGTCACTGAACTTCTCTGAACCTCAGTGTCCTCATCTGTAAATGGGCCTAACATTGGTACCTAGCAGGTTCTGGGAGGACTCAAGGACAATCAGCCACAGGAGGGCTGAGCACATAGGAGCTGCTGTTTTAATTAGTAGTGTTGGCAGTTGTATCCTAAGTGCTTGACACAAAGGGTATCCCATCAGTGGAAACTATGACGAGGACAATGATGATAATGGCACAGGATTCAGTCACTATTTTGAATTTCCTAACTGAAGAGTGCACAGTGCCTAGTGACCTAGGACACCTCCAGTAACAGAGAGTTCACTACCTCTCCAAAGGCCCATTTTCCTGTCAGCTCCTCTTGCTGAAAGCTGCCTCCTGAAAGACCCCCCACCAGCACCTCCTTCTCAGGGTGATTTGGCTGGCCTAGCCTCTGGCTGGCCACAGGTCCCCCTCACTTCCCCAGGGAGATGAGGTCAGGGCGCCAGGACTGGCAGCTGAATCCCTGCCTTTGCTGGAAGGACGGGGAGCTCACAGGTGAGCCCAGGTGGCTTCACTAGTAGGAGATTCCCCGTGGGTCTTGTTCTTACTGCCCAAAGCTCCTTTCCTGCTGACTGGGAGAAGGGAGTAGAAGGAAAGGCCTTGCTGTCCTTTGGTCTGCCCTTCAGTCTTCAGTATCGAGAATGGCTGGAGGCCAGAGAGGAAATCCGACCCAGAGCCTGGCATTCTAACTGGGAGGCCTCAGCTCCAGTCCCTCCCGCTGCCAGGCCTCCCCCATCTGCTTGGGAGTCCCAGGTAAGTGCTCATGGGTCGGACACCAAGGGGTCTGGTGGGGAGGGCAGGAGCTTAACAGTCCTGGGGTCAAATCTTGGCTTGGTCCACACCTCCTGTGTTACTTCAGGCAGGTCATTCCACCTCTCAGAGCCTGTTTCCTCCCGGGGCACTTACCTCAGAGTGGCATTGTGGGGAGTACAGGAGTGGTTACCTGTGAAAAGGAAAGTGCAGCACTGGGCATATAAATACCCATAAATGTAGCAGTGGATTTTTTTAAATTAAGGTATCATTGATATACAATCTCATGAAGGTTTCACATGAGCAACATTGTGGTTACTACTTTCACCCATATTATCAAGTCCTCCCCACATACCCCACTGCAGTCACTGTACATCAGTGTAGTAAAAAGCTTGTCTTTTCTGGGTATAGCAGTGGATTTTATCATAAAGTGCAAGTCTCTCCTTTCCCCAAGACTCCCTGTGCTGAGTGGGCCAAGGTGGCTGAGGGAGTGGGTCATGTCAGGCAGGGTGATGTCCTGACCCACTTCTCCATTAGCAGA